CAAGGAAAATCAGGAAAAAGAAGGGAAAATCAGGGAAAACCAAGGAAAATCAGGGAAAAGCAAGGAGCAGCTTCCCCTTTCCCAAAGGAAAACTGGGCTCCTGCTCCAGGAGGAGTCCCTGAGCACCAGGATTTGTGTCCTGCTATTCCAGGGATCCCCAGAAATCCTTGGGAGTTTCCATAGGGAAATTCCAGCAGCAGCAGCAGCACCTTCTTCAGTTTTTTTGAAAAGGTTTTCCCTCTAGCAGGATTAATTTGGAGCAGGATTAATTGCAAGCAAAGCCTGAAGCTTTTTCCTCACGGGGAGAAAGGAGAAATCTCATCACAGGGGGATGTTCTGGGTTCTGCCACACAGAATTCCACATGGAATTCTCTGCTTTGATGACTGGAGTGATGAGTGAGGAGCACAAATACAAATAAAACACCAAAAATTCCTCCTCAGCAGGAGGGAAAATTTCTTTCCCTGGAGGTGGCAGAGCCCTGGAACAGCTGCCCTGGAATTGAGGATTTTTCCTTCCTGGAGATTCCAAACCCAGCTGGGTGATCTCCAGCCCCAGAATTCTGGGATTCTGTGAGCCCCCATCCCTGGCAAAAAAAAAAACAACCAAAAAACAAAAAACCTCACCCACCCCAAATCCATCCAATTCCAAATTTATGGAAGGGTTGAATTCGCTTGAATTGACCTTGCTGCCGCCCTAAGGAGAAAAAAATTGGAATTTTCAATTGGAACAGAGTGAATTTCTGAGTGCTGAGAGCAGCTCCAGTGAGGAGCTGCTTTGTACTGGGAGCAGAACAAACCTCACACCTCATCCAGGAAAATTCCCCCCTCGGAGCGAGGCACTCACAGAATTCCAGCATCATTTCCTCCCTCTCGCTGACATCCCCGGGGGGGATATTTTGTGGAAATTGAGCTGCCATGACATCAGCGTGGGAGGGGAAGCCCAGGGGAGCTGCTCTTGCTTTTACAGCAAAAACCAGGGTTTGGTTTTACAGCAAAAATGAGAATTTTGATGTCACGGCTCTGATTTCACCTCCCTCCAGCAGGAAAAAATGACCCGGAGGGAGCTGAGGCCGGCTCTGACTCGGGTGGTGTTTGATGTTTGATTTTTGATTTTTGATTTTTGATTTTTGATTTTTGATGTTTGATTTTTGATGTTTGCAGCTCCTCCCGTGCCCCAGGGATCAGCTTTGGAATTTGGGGGTGTTGCTCCAGCCAGATAAAATCTGCACTGGGGAGCCTTTCCCTGGGATCCAGGAGATTTTCCCTGGGATCCAGGAGATTTTCCCTGGGATCCAGGAGTTTTTCCTTGAGATCCAGGAGTTTTTCTCTTGGATCCAGGAGTTTTTCCTTGGGATCCAGGAGTTTTTCCCTATTTCTCTTGGATCCAGGAGCTCTTCCCTGGGATCCAGGAACTTTTCCCTGTTTCTCTGGGATCCAGGAGTTTTTCTCTTGGATCCAGGAGCTCTTCCCTGGAATCCAGGAGTTTTTCCCTGTTTCTCTGGGATCCAGGAACTTTTCCCTGTTTCTCTGGGATCCAGGAGTTTTTCCCTGGGATCCTGGAGCTTCTCTCTGGATCCAAGAGCTCTTCCCTTGGATCCAGGAGTTTTTCCCTGGAATCCTGGAGCTGTGGTCTCTTCCAAGGGACTCTGGGCAGTGCCAGGTTTTCCCAAGGAATGCTTGGGAAGGGTTTGGAGTTCTGGAAGTGCCCCCCCAGCCCCTGCAGTGACCAACCAGGACAATTCCTGACCCCCCAGAGTTTCCCAAGCCCTGCTCTGACATTCCCAGCCTTTCCTCCTGCTCTGGAAGCACCAGCTCCGTGTTTCCCCTGTGCCTCAGGAGCTGCTCCTCGAAATTCTCTCGGGTTTCATCAGGCCGAGACTCCATCAGGAAACTGTAAAAACAGGACAGGAAAACTCGGAGAAAGTTCTCCCTTTACAATTTCCTTTGGATGTGTTTTTCCAGCACTTGGAATGTCTGGCTTTAGCAAGTGTCCCTGCCAGCTTTTTCTTTTCTGCAGAAACCCAAACAGTTAAACTGCAGGAATGTGGCTGTGTTTGGGTGAAGTGAGGAAATGACGAGCTGGGGAAAATATTCCATGAGAAAGGAGCCCCTCAGGGAGACCCTGGGGCTGGGAGAGCTC